CCCCGCAACCTGAAGCAAATACTTACCAGCAACCACATACCACACAACAGAACCACTAACCCAGGAACCTATCCTTGCAACAAAGCCCGTTGCCAACTGTGCCCACATATCTATTCAGGGGACACCATCATAGGGCCTAATAACATCAGCCACGCTATCAGAGGCTCGTTCACCTGCACATCCACCAATGTGATATATGCCATCATGTGCCAGCAATGCCCCTCTGCCATGTACATTGGTCAAACTGGACAGTCTCTACGTAAAAGAATAAATGGACACAAATCAGATGTCAAGAATTATAACATTCATAAACCAGTCGGAGAACACTTCAATCTCTCTGGTCACGCGATTACAGACATGAAAGTTGTGATATTACGACAAAAAACTTCAAAACCAGACTCCAGCGAGAGACTGTTGAATTGGAATTCATTTGCAAATTGGATACAATTAACTTAGGCTTGAATAGAGCCTGGGAGTGGCTAAGTCATTATGCAAGGTAACCTACTTCCCCTGGTTTTTTCCTCCCCCCCCACTCCCCCCAGACATTCTTGTTTAACCCTGGATTTGTGCTGGAAATGGCCCACCTTGATTATCATACACATTGTAAGGAGAGTGATCACTTTAGATAAGCTATAACCAGCAGGAGAGTGGGGTGGGGGGAGAGAAAACCTTTTGTAGTGGTAAACACCTATTTTTTCATGCTTTGTGTGTATAAAAAGATCTTCTATACTTTCCACAGTATGCATCCGATGAAGTGAGCTGTGGCTCACGAAAGCTTATGCTCAAATAAATTGGTTAGTCTCTAAGGTGCCACAAGTACTCCTTTTCTTTCTACTATAGTGAGTGCATAACTGGTTGGAAAACCATTCCCAGGGAGTAGTTATCAGCGATTCACAGTCAAGCTGGAAGGGCATATCGAGTGGGGTCCCACAGGGATCGGTCCTGGGTCTGGTTCTGTTCAATATATTCATAAATGATTTAGATAATGGCAGAGAAAGTACACTTAAAGTCTGCAGATGATACAAAGCTGGGAGGGGTTGCAAGTGCTTTTGAGGAGGATTAAAATTCAAAATGATCTGGACAAACTAGAGGAATGGTCTGAAATGAAAAGGATGAAATTCAATAAGAACAAATGCAAAGTACTCTACTTAGGAAGGAACAATCAATTGCACAAATACAAAATGGGAAATGACTGCCAGGGAAGGAGTACTGCGGAAAGGGATCTGGGGGTCATAGTAGATCACAAGCTAAATATGAGTCAGTATAACACTGTTGCAAAAAAAAGTGAACATCATTCTGGGATGTATTAGCAGAAATGTTGCAAGCAAGACATGAGAAGTAATAATTCTTCAACTCTATTCTGTGCTGATTAGGCCTCAGCTGGAGTATTGTGTCCAGTTCTGGGCAGCACATTTCAGGAAAGATGTGGACAAATTGGAGAAAGTCCAGAGGAGAGTAACAAAAATTATTAAAGGTCTAGAAAATATAACCTATGAGGAAAAATTAAAAAAAAAAATTGGTTTGTTTAGCCTGGAGAAGAGAAGACAGAGGGGACATAACAGTTTTCACATAAAAGGTTATTACAAGGAGGAGGGTGAAAAAATTCTCATTAACCTCTGAGGACAGGACAAGAAGCAATGGGCTTAAATTGAAACCTGGGAGGATTAGGTTGGACATTAAGAAAAAACTTCCTAACTGTCAGGGTAGTTAAGCACTGGAACAAATTGCCTAGGGAGGTTGTGGAATCTCCATCATTGGAGATTTTTAAGAGCAGGTTGGACAAACACCTGTCAGGGATGGTCTAGTTATTACATAGTTCTGCCTTGAGCGCAGGGGACTGGACTAGATGACCTCTTGAGGGTCCTTTCAGTCCTACACTTGTATGATTATTGAAGAAACCGAGGACATGGTACTGATACTGGAGTGACTATTGTACATCCTGGGCTTTGGGCCAATGCAATTTTGTGGCTGAAGAAAAATTCTAAATTTTAAGAAAACGTTGATTTTTTTAATGGGAGATTTGTTTTAAAAGACAAAATGGCAGATGTTTGATCTTCTCAGAGGTTTGGAATGTTAGCAATTCCACCTGGGATAGATTAATGATCAGAGTGACAGTGAGTTAGTCAAACGTGCACTATAAATGTATTTTCTGAGTGACTTTGCAGTTTATCACATCAATATTACTGCTGCCTATGCGATGTATATAGGGAACCCAAGAGAGTGTGGTGTGGTAAAAAATGTTTTATCAACATGAATGATGTGAGTCATTCCAAACAATTGTCAATAAAACCTTTGTATCACACTATGTACTCTGTCTATGCCATAAATATTACAGAAAACTGTTTGAGAGTTGTTTTACAGAGCTTCAAATTTTTTATTTGGATTATTTTTGTAATCCTCCACCTGCCTGTAGTCATATGCTTTAGTTACTATGAGTTGGGCTCTGTATCTATCATGGAGGTCGGGGAAGTCACGGATTCCTTGACTTTCCATGACGTTTGTGACTTATGCAGGGACCAGGGTGGCTGGCCCCACAGCCACCCAAGCTGCTGGCTCCAGGGCCAGTTGCTCAGGTGGCCCCGGGACAGCCACACCAACCGCTGCTCCGGCGGCCCTCAGCAGTGGTCCCAGGGAGGCCAGAGCATTTGCAGTCCACGGCCCCAGGCAGCAGTCCCTGTCCATCCGGCTGGAGCAGCTGCGGTCAGGGGCAGTGGTCCCCGTCAGTCTGGCCGGAGGATCCGCGGTCCGGGGCAGTGGTCCCCGGCTGACGGCCGGAGCAACCACTTTCCACTCAGTGGTTCCCAGCCCACCGGCCAGAGCAGCCACAGTCTGCAGCCCCGGCAACTATCCCCAGGTGGCAGGTGCTGTCCTCAGCCCCTGGCAACTGATGCCGCTGACCCAAGGTGGCTCCCCCGCAGCAGCAGCCCCCCATGGCCCTCCAGCACTTCCCTCCCCCAAGATTTAATCACTGGTATTTTTAGTATAAGTCATGGACAGGTCACAGGCCATGAATTTTGTTTATTGCCCATGACCTGTCCGTGACTTTTAGTAAAAATACCCATGACTAAACTGTAGCCTTAACTATGAGCCCAACTGTATATGGCTCCAAGAGAGCCTTAAATACGCACAGAGCTGTCCTAAAATAAGTTTGTATCAATGCCGTGGCTTTAATTGTTTGATATCATGGGTTGTTCAAGTGGTAGGAATCTTCCAGTTCCCAGTGGGAAGACGGAAATCTCCACCCTTAAATTATATGAAGTTCACGTGTATTTCCCCACGGTGCTGGGAAGTATCAGACTTTAAAGTTGGCAAGGCTCTATTTGAATTAAGAAAGAAATACTACCTAGTAGACACTGGTAGACGTAGTGAAAATTATACACACACAAACACACATACATAAATCAGGCGTGGACAAACCACAGTTCGTGAGTCACATGAGGCTCATTTACAGTTAAACTGCAGCTCACGGTGCCCCCGTGCCAGCCCTCCCCCATTTTCTTCCTACCAGACTGGGGGAGGGGGGAGCTTCTGGCCTGTGGCAAGGTGGTAGGGCTAGGGGCTTCTGCCCTGTGGGGCGTGGGGATCTTGGGGTTTGATCCCCATGGGGGAGGCCACTCCTGCTGAAGCCCTGGCAGGCGTGTTCCCCCTTACCCCCCATAGGGTAGAAGCCTCAAGCCCCAGAAGGCATGTCCATGGCTCTCAAATTTCTGAAGATTATCATATGCGGCTCAGAGGATCAATAAGTTTGGCCACCCTGATCCATTTCACTCTCTCTCTCTCTCTCTCTCTCTCTCTCTCTCCTCACACACACACACACACACAGAGTCTATATCTATAATGTTACACTGCTGCACAAGACATTAATAGTCATGTCATAAAACATTGTATACTGCAGTAAGATCACCATGGGATTTTAGATGAATTAAAACAAATAATTTCCCAGAATTCAAAAGTAACTCCTTTTAGCAATTCTCTTTGATATATCAAGCACATAGCACCCACACCTTTATAATGCACAATCAAATGGATTAACAGAAAAGTCAGTAGTAATAGCAAAGTGTTTGATCAAAATGTCACTGGCAGATTCAAGCGCAATGCTGCCAACCCCAAGTATTAAAAAATTATGAGTCAGGATAAAAATAAATCAAATGAAATTTTAAATAATGAGATTGGTGTAAACACAAGTTTTTAGAGGTAATATTTTGGGGATTCTTTTAATTTGTCTTCTGTTTTCTGAGCCTTTAGGGTGCACTTGTTGCATATTTTCAAGTTTTTCTCTGCAACAATGAAGGCTAGAAAGTTACCCTTTTAAGATACGTTGACATTCTCATAAAGTATCTTGATTCCAGCAGCTGGGGCTTTAAGAAAACACACCAAATATCATGAGATTCCCAATTAAAATCATGCATGTTGGCAGATCTACAAGTATTCCACATTTTCCACTGTTAGAATATCACAACACACCACATCATGCTTTATTGCCTTGCAGGATCTTATGGACTGAAGTACAAACATATTAGTGTCAACATCTAGCAAGTTTTTTGAGCCAGATTCCATTTATCCTGAAGTAACTACAAGAGACTGTACACCTGGAAACTATAACAAAAGATATAGTATGACAAGAATGTCAGCCAGTTATCCCATTGTAAATGAAAAAAAAAAAGAGGCTGGCAACCTATCAGCATAATAGTTTTACCCTGCTTAAAGCGTTGCCACGGCAGCACTTTAATGTCGCTGCCCCTTTTGCACCCCCCATTGGCAGCCCTGCTGGGACCCTAGCAGCAGGGCCGCCGACGGGGGAGTGCAAAAGGGGCAGCAACGTTAAAGCCATGGCAAAGGACCCTCCTTAAAGCGCTGCTGTGGCAACGCTTTATCGTCACTGCCCCTTTTGCCCCCCCAGGCTGCCAATGGTGGAGGGGGGGAGGAGCAGCTGCCCCGGGGCCAGTGATTTAAAAGGGCCGGAGCTCCAGCCGCTGCGGTAGCGGCAGCAGTGGCTGAAGCCCCGGCCCCTTTAAATCGCCGCTGGAGCCCAGGGCGGCACGGGCCAGGCAGCCTGGAAGGGCCGGCTGGGGGACACTGACCCTCCAGCCCCGCCCCTTCCAGGGGGGCCAGAGCTGGCCCCCGTACCGGTAAGTTTTCAATTTTACTTTCACCCCTGCCAGCACCTGACACTCCAGGCCATGATTCGACAGCAGCCAAACCCCTACTTAGACCCGTATGAGTTTTTGTGAGTGAGAGAGAGAGTGAGTGAGTGTGTGAAAGAAAACAGCATGTCCCCCTCCTAGGGTAGGAGGGGTGAAAGCTGCACAGACCCCAGTGCTGCTCCTGCCCTGCTGGCTCAGGCTGCCTTGAGCTGGCAGCCCCAGTGTCTTGCTTTAAGTGGCTGCCCTGGGGGTGGGCTGAGAGGCAGCCCACATTTGCCTTCCTTCAAGATGCAATGCAAGCACAGTACAGTACTTGCTTTTTCCCACTTTTTTCCATCTCTGCTGCTTCCTGATTGGTTACTTCCAGTTTCACATGGTGTCTGATTGACCGGTCAGTCCATAACTCTGGTGTTCGTATATATCTTTGATGTTCTACTGCACTGAAGTTTCAGCTTGCCTCCCCTGATCTATGTCAAACATAAGGATCAGGAACTAAATTACAGTCTTTTACCCCTGCTCCTGCATGTTATACATAAATTGAATACCGCATACATAGTATTCAGATATATTACAGTCATGCAAAATAAAATGTAGCATGGTGAGGTTTGCATGGTGATTGGGGACTTGAATGTATCCACAAGTTATATTAAAATGTACTTATTTATATTTTTTTCAGCTGAAACCTTTTATTCTAGGAGCTTTACAATATTTTAAATAAAAAAAATCTTACAATATAAAGTATATGCTGCACTCACTGATTGACCTGTACATAGAATTAAAAATAAATGTACACTATTGGAAAAAGTAACAAAGCTCCCCTGAATGGTGTTTCAGTAGATGTATCAAATTTAAAGGAGGTCTTGGGTCTGGCTCTCCCTGTTCATTAATAAAGTTAGCTCAAGACAGCCTTTCAGTGGGTGTGCCTCACAATGCATTTTTATCCCTCTAAAGTCTAAAGATATCACAAAAGCCATCATAGCCCCCTACTTTAAATGCACTATGTTTGTCAGTCTTCAACTACCCAGAGAAAAGAAAATAGCCTTCTGGGCATGCCACAAAGCCTAACAATGTTGGGTAGGAGCAGACCTAGGTGGACAGCAAGTTCCTCATGAAGAATAAAAAGTGTCTTTCAAACTGAGGCTCCAGCTCAAGTGCCTCCAGTGAGCATAACTTCAGTTATATTTATTGCACAAAGAGGAAATAATTCCTTTCAGGTCCCAAATAATTGATTGTGAGTGATTTTTCAGACCAGACTCGTTATATAAAATAGACCATAGAATTCCATCCAGTAATTCTTGAATCCAACTGAACAACTTGAACAGGAGTGCATCTTTCTAGAAAGACATCCGGTCTTGATGTAAAGACTCCAAGTAAAGGAGAATTTATCACATCTCTTGCTAATGTTTTCCAGTAGTTGATTACCCTTCCTGTTAAAAATATTTCATCTTATTTCCAATGTCTATTTTTCTGACTTCAGCTTCAAGCCAATGGATCTTCTTATGCCTTTGCCTGTTCGATTAAAGAGGGCTCTACTAGTAGATATTGCCTATCTTTGTAGGTAAGCTTTAGGGCTGTAGAGATTTAAATCAACATCTTGAACTGCACCCAGAAAGCTACTGGCAGTCAGTGCAGATTACTGAGCAAAGGTGCAACATGCTTTCAGTGTGACACATGACTTATTAAGCAGAGCACCACATTCAGCACTAGCTTCAGTTATTAATATCTCTAATCTCCAGAAAGAGTTCCAACATGCATGATCTGTCATTTGGGACTATTTAACTCAAAGACATATCTTAAAGGTAGGCTTCAAGTAGATGTGGCAGTTTATTTGAAATAAGACTGGCAGCCAAAGGGATCGAGATAACATTATACAGCAATAATATGAGTTTGCAGTTTAGTGACTCATTTTGGCCAAGATTTCGTTAAAGTACATAGCTACCCCATGTGATAAACTAATACAAAATACTTACTAAAGACATAAACAAAAAGTTTGTGCTGGAATAAGTCTTATAGATAAGCAAATTGATGAATTTGGTATAACTCTCTAAATTTGGCTTATTATGCATAACATTGCAAAGATTGTTGTTCAAGCCATCTTCACTGTGAAATTAATATAGATTTAACTGGCAATAAGTGTACTAATATGTCTAAATACAGGACAGTGTAAATTTATTGTATTCAATTTAATGCATATAAAGGTGAAATTCACATCAGAGAAAAGCATCTGTGCAGGTCCTTGCACATCACTTAATCTGCTATTTTAAGGTCTGTGGTGAGATTACAGGTCCTCAGAACTGAGATGAATTTTATTGATAATAAATGTGTAAATTTAAACATAGTAAGTGTTTATTATGTATTATGTTAAAGGTCAAATCTTGATGTCTTTCCTGTTTTCCTCAAATACTTACTGGAGAGAACAATTATTTCTTGCTTCATTGCTTAGACATTAGAAGAGCTCAGACCAAGTACACAGTGTTATTATCTATCCCAATTAATTAATTATCCCTATTAATTAATCAAATAATTAGTTAGTTAATCCCTATTTTATGAATGATGTTAATGGGAAATTTTCCTGCATGAGGACTGAGAACACTGAATGCGGACTCCGGGGTTTGATCCAGAGTCTTGTTTTTTATATTTGTATAGCAATAGCATCTAGTGGACCCAGTTAGTCAGAGTTATACAATAGGTGTGATTAATAAAAATAAGACAAACATGAATATATTGGTATTATTATTATTGGGCCAGATCCTCAGGTGATGTAAATCAGCATAGCTGTGTTGCCTTCAATGGACCTATGTCTCTTTACACCAGCTGAGGATCTAACACAATATACTGTTATGGCAGGAGCAATCAGACAGGACAGTTACACATCTTGTTACAAGTTCTTTTTCTTGGCGCATAAGCAGTGTAGTCTTTGAAGAAATGTTGTAGTTTTGTGATGAAGCTTTCTTTAGGGGGAGCTGTTACAATCAGCAGGAAAGTTTTCTCTCTGCCTTAATCTCTAACTAAAATCAATTCATTGTGCAGAGTTACTCCCTAGGAACTAGGTATTGGTGTTTTAACAGAGATTCCTGAAAGATGGGATTGCCTGCATGCTGTCTGACCCCCACTGTTTAAGGACTGGTGTATATTGTGTAAAATAAGCAAGTTGCACTAAGAATATGCTAGGCTCCATGTCACTGCCTTCTTCTCTAATTGGGAACTGATCTGTAAGGCCATCTGCTACTACTTGGCATATTGGCAACAATATTTAATTCTATAGCACTGTAACACAGGGGAAGATGGTGCATTACAAATACAGAATTCTGGACTGAGGATTTTACAATCAAATATGAGCTGTTACAAACCAAACATTTTAAGAATGAAGCACGAGTCAGGATTGGGACAAGATATAGCTTTAGGAGATTGATGACCGAAAGCTAGATTAAATAAGTAGATTTCAAAGTGAGATTTGAAGAAAGAAAGAGCACTTCCTGCCCAAGACCAGAGTCATAGTTCCAACACCAGGGGGCAGCATGAATGAAACTATGAATTCAAGAGCATATAAGGAAAAGAAAGAGGGAGCATGAAGAAAGAGAAATGGACAGCACGAAGAGCACTGAAGGAAGTACAGAACTAAATAAGGACTGAGGCACATGTATGGGTGAAGACATGAGAACATTAAAAGTGAAGATGAGGAACTGAATTTGACATGGAAAAGGGCAGGAATTAATAGAGGGCTTAAGAGGGATGGGGCAGAGCATTAGGAGAAAGAGTATTTTAATTGTGACATTTTGGATAGACTGGAGAGAAGAGAGCTAAAAAAAAAACAGACTGGAGGCTGGTCAAGGCAAGAAGTGACCAAGGCACAGACTAAGGTTTCTAAAGATGGGACAAGAGGAAAGGGCTGATTTTAAGGAGGATATAAATCAACTAGGGACTTCTGCGATGCCCATGTAAATCAGCTGGAGTCTTTCTTTGGCCTCCATGTTTGCATCTCCAAATAGAAAGTGTAGGCTAAACAATAGGTAAAGTAGTGGAAAAATTAAAATGGTAAAGAAAAGTTGAACAAAGATAGTGAACCAATATGGGAAGAAATTATTAGAAAACAATGATTCATCCCAGAGCCTGAACAGACACATACTGTAACTTTTATGAATGCATTCTTACCAGTGACTCAGGGATAAGTGAATTGATTGACTTACTGAACATTTTGTTTTGCCAGCTAGTTTTTCAGAGACAAAATAAAACATGCCTGACATCTAACAAGTGTCAGTGTAGGTTGATAATTGCTGTTTCTAATACATCAAAGTATGTTTTCTCTTAAAAAAAAGCTTGGATAATTGTAATACAGTGGCAAACTGGTTAAGATTATACATTAAACATATTCTCAACTTGTTCTTTAGCAAGGCAGAAATTACTTTATCTCTTGAGACAAAGTAATTAATTTATTCACTGTTTATCCCTGGATCACTTGAAAGGAAATGTATGGGACTACAGTATTAATTACTGTATAAATTTCCCACTAAATGCTTTGCAAGTAATATAATTACCACTTCAGTATTGGTAACTGACACACACTTTTTTGCAGTTTAATATACTTGTGAATTACTTTAACATTAATATTACTAATAAGAAAAAAGTACTGAAAAGTGGTGATAGTTAATGAAGTCACTAATTGGCATAAGCCAAGATGGTTTTATGTTCATGCCAGCCTACAATAACTTTAATATTTAACTATTTTTTACTAACTCCATTACACAAATCCTTAAAAATAAGCTCACGCCCTCCTACCCCCAAAAAAAGAGAGAGAAGCAGAATGATGAGAATGTATTTAGTTTCTGTGTTACTGGGGGCAACAATTCCTTGGGAATTATAGAATAATCAACATCTTGCAAATGAAACTTTGTTCCTGCTTCCACGAACTCCCCTATAGTCATATTTGCAAGTATCTAATTGCACCTAATATTTATTTGCAAGAACATTCATGGACACCATTGTGA